TTGTTCCCTCTCTCGCTGTGTCTCTCTCTGTCAAATAAATAAATAAAATCTTAAAAATAAAAAATAAAAAAAGAAAGAAAAAGAAAAGATTCAGTGATTTCTTCCCCCCTTCCAGCATGCCCACAGTGCTGTGCTCCATTCCTTTCCAGCTGTCCTCCAAAATGCTTGTTCCCTGCCTGAGGTGTTGCTGTATCCCCAGGACCCTGTGGTTCACCTCCCAGACAGTCTGTAATGTGTGGTCCTGAGGCAAGAGGCTCAAACCTGCTGACCTCTGTGCCACCAGTGCTCATATGTTCTACTTAATTCCAGCAACGATCAAAGGCATTATTGGTATCACATTTGGTACCCACATGTGTGAGATGCCTACTATTAGAAGGGTCTATGATGACTGGGGTCTTAAACTTACGTAATGAGTAGAGGTTATTCACTTGCAAATAGAAAAAACTCATTCTGCCTAACTTAATGCCAAAGAGATTTATTGAAGGATTTTGGAGTCTCTTAGGGAGTCAAGAGGGGAACAGAAGAAATCCACTAATGGAAGACCAGAAACCCTTGGGCCTGTTCCTAGGCCTGAACAGCCTGTGAGGGACCTTCTTCTCCATATGGCCAGTTTCAAAGACTCCCAGCTCTGCCTCTCATGTCCAGATGTCCAAGCCCAACTTGGATCAGAGCCCACCCCATCAGCTACAGCTAGGATAGGGATGGATCCAGATTTTGTGGGGACCAAAAACTCATACAATTTGCAGAGCCTTCTTTAAGATAAAGACTCAAGAGACCAAATACAATTGATGTGGAAATGTTGGGATTCAGAGCAAATGGTCAAGAAAGAATTCTTGAAATATCTTCAGTGCAAAAAGCTGGTTTTATTAAAGCATGGGGACAGGACCTGTGGGCAGAAAGAATTGCACTGGGGTTGTGATGGGTGACTGATTATATACTTTCAAGTTGGGAGGGGGTTAGGGATAGCGTAAGTCTCTAAGGAATTTTGGAAACAAGGTTTCCAGGAACTTGAGGGGGCTAGCTATTGTTGGGAAAATCTCATTTATTTCTGTGTAGTCAAACCTTAGTCATGAGACCCTTCAGATGTGTATCAGTGGGCCATATGCTTGGAGGATGACTGCTGACATATATCTTGGAGGGTAGAGATAAAGGAAGTTTCCAAAGCAATTTTTTTTTTAAGATTTTTATTTATTTATTTTTTTGACAGATAGAGACAGCGAGAGAGGGAACACAAGCAGGGGGAATGGGAGAGGGAGAAGCAGGCTTCCTGCTGAGCAGGGAGCCCGATGCGGGGCTCAATCCCAGGACCCTGGGAT